AGCTGTGAGAAAAGCATGGAACAGATTCTCATTCAGAGCCCCCAGAAAGAACCCACCCCACCAGTGCCTTGACTTCTGACTTCTTGCCTCCTGAACTGTGAGACGATACATTTTTGTTGTTTTAAGTCTCTCGGCTTATGGTAACGTGTTAGGGCAACCCTAGGAAACTAATATAAGTACGAAATTCTAAGCAGGATTACTTTTTGATCCCTACTCAGCCTCTTGGTAGAAGGCAGAAAATGTTCCCAAGAGGTGGTTATAAAGTAATCATTTTGATAACCCTCTTGTTGACCAAGCCCAGGTCATCTCCCTGACCTTACAATGGAAATGATTGAATCAGCCCGTTCCCCTGAGCATGAAAGTCATTACAGAACCTGGAGGCACAGGAAGGAGGAGAAAGTGAGCAGAGGGAAGAAATGTGGCACAATTTTCAAATATCATCAATCCTAATTCTCAACTATTAAGGTTATGCAAAGATAGCATTACCTTTTTACTTAACTCCTTGCTCATTACATAATAATTCAGGTTTACTTTACAAAAATCAGAAAATATAGGAAAGCAGATAAAAGCTATTCATAATCCGCACCCCAAAACATCCACCATTCACACTTGGACTTATTGCCTGCCAGATGTTTTCCTTTGCACATATCTATATTTTCATTTTTACAAGAGAAATACCATCACTTCCTAATTGCCTCCATGTCTTTGCTTCCTTTTTCTTGATAAACACAGATTTTAAAAATACTCCTGAGATCCATTCTACCTCCCCACCACACATTTCTGCTTTTGATTTGCATCGCACCGTCCTCTCCCTGGGCCCCTTCCTGTGGCCACCACATTCTTTCACACAAGGAGTCAGTTCTCTCTCCAGCCCTGAGTTCACATGGGGAGGCCTGGATTACCACGCAAACAGCACCAGGGAAAAGGGTGATCTCCAAAGGCTTTTTTAGAATAGTTGCTACCTTTCCCTAGATATCAGATTTGCCTTTTCTTTTAGACCTCAGGTGCTGAGAGTTGAGTTAATTACGCTCCTCCATTAAAGACATGATTATCCGCCACATCTGCACCAAGAACTCCTCGGTTTTAGTATGTTCCTTTACACACGTCTCCACTCCTTCTCCCTTCCCCCCATTCACATCCATCCTAATGTATTTGATTCAAGTCCTGGAAGATTGTGCCGGGCAGCTTCTATTTGCACCTCCAGGGCCACTCTCCATTTCTCTTGGTCCAGCTCTGAGTCCCTGGCGGCTCATCTGTAGGGTGAACATCAACAGCTTGTTTGCCCCCTGGGTTTTTACTGGGTTTGGCCAATGAAAAGCACTGTCAGGAGAGCCAGAAGGTGGCAGGAAAGAGAAGCTGGGGTATTTGACCCCTTTACCTGCCAGCGAGTAAGGTCCTCTGTTGGGAGAAAGTGTTGGCTGCATCCTCCAGCTCCTGGGGGCTGGTCCTCTCCAGGGAGCTCTCTCACCTCATTCAGCTCTTCAGGTGTAGGGCATGTGGAGGTCCCAGCGCTGCTCCTAGCTCCTGGACACTTTACCACTGTCTGTTGCTTTTCCTAACACTGCTCCTGTCTTTGTAAATAGTCCTTGTATTAATTCTGCAATTCTGCAATGTGTATGCCTATCTTTTTCTTGCCTGGATCCTGTCAGATGCACAAATGTATGTGTCATTGTAAATTATGGAATGTTCCTTTGTATGCACATGTGTGTGTTCCTATGTATTTAATGAGTAGACTATTACCTGTTTCTTATGCATTTAGCATAACACTGTTTATACGGCCTGCATTCTCGTAAACACTCGAGGTTGTTGCTTCTAACTGCATGCAGCATTGCTCCCGTGCATCTCTCCTCTTACTTCTCCAGCCCCTAATGAGGAACTGCCTCCAACTTCCAGCCTTCACAGGCAACACCACATTAAATCCAAATTTTCATCAACTTTTTTTTTTTTGGCTGTGCTGCGCAGCAGGTGGGATCTTAATTCCCCTACCACGAATGGAACCTGTGCCCCCTACGTTGCAAGGGCAGAGTCTTAACCACTGGACCGCCAGGGAAGTCCCGAATTTTCATCAACTTTTTAACCCAACATTTTTCAGTTCTTTTCTTGGTGTCAGTTCTGTATTTACGCCAAGAACAGTGATTTTATGAGTAACTCACATTGCATAAACCTCAAGTCTATGTTGCTCCTTTAAAAGGTGCTTTTGGAATGTGTTTTTTCCTGATTTTTCCACTACGATCTTAAATTGTGTAAAAAAAAAAAAAATGACAAGAATCACATAAGCTACCATTCATTGGGCAGTTCCTATGTGCTGGGTTCTCTCCTAAGCCGGTTCTGAGCTGTAGCTCATCAAAAGCATGGGAAGGAAGGCAGCTTGGACTCGCTCGCCAGGGCTGATTGTTAAATTTTCAAGAATTTTGCAATGCAGCTACTAAACACAACAATTATTAAAAAATTAAATTATGTTAACCCACAATGAAATAAGTTTACATTAACAACAAATGTACTAGAAACCGAAGAGTCATCAGTTCCTACTTATTTTACTACCCTTAACTGTTCTCTAGGCTCAAATTATGTCTGTTGTACCTGGACAGGGTATGACAGAGCACATCTCCTTCCAACTCCACAGTCAAAGATGTTACATTTCTATCTTAAAATCAGCTGTGGTGGGAGTATTTGTACCGTGGAAATTAGCAAATGCTATAAATCAGGAGTTCCCCCCATCGGCACAGCTGGTTAAGCATTTATCAGCAACACAACAGTCCTATGAGACTGGTACATTTTCATTTTACAGATGAAAAAGTGAGGTTTAAAGGCGTTAAAGAACTGTCTCAAATCTTAAAGCTACTGAAAGCTACAATTGGGATTCCAATGAGAGCTCATATAACTCCAGGCCACACCCACCCAAGGGTATCGTAGAACAATAGGGGAAAGACATAGTAACTAAAAGGTAGGGTTTTGTTGTATAGCACCCGCGGGGCACACAAGGAAGCTAGGCACAGGGGGGTTAAGTTATTTGTCCAAGATTATATGCTTAAGGAAGAGAAAGGCGGGGTGGGGTTTAATCCAAAGACTCCTGGCCCTAGAGCTCCCCCACCACTCTCGGATGCCCTTAGGCACCGGAAAGGGCAGGGACAAGGTACCATTTTCTTCCTCTGTGTCTCTCTCCCGGCCTCTCGCTCTCTCTTGTCACGTGATACCCTCTTTATGCTTCTCCCTGTGCTTTCTTTATTTTCCTCTCTCTGGTTTTGTGCATCCATTTCTGCCTCGCAGTTCCTAAGTCCTAGATTCAAGAACCTGCCCAAGCTGACAAGAGAATGCCTGTTCCAGAAAATACCAAGTTCCCAAGGCAAGGTCTTACTGGCCCAGCCTGGGCCACGTAGCTGCCCCTGGTTTCATCTAAGAGTCCAGCAGGGCTGCTGGGCCTGCACCCCTCCCCCATGGGTAAGGGAAGCAATGCTGGGAGGGGGTGGGCTGAGCAAACACCCAGAGGGTGTCTACACCCTTCTTACCAGGTACGCAGCCAGTGGGACCGCTGGGACGCTGGGGCAAGAAGAATAATAGTGATAATATTAATCACTCTTCGAGTTCCCAGAATGTGCTTCACAGGTACTGCTTCATTTAATACAATAACCCATGGAGTGCATCCTACTATTATCATCACCACCCTTATTTTACAGATGCGTTAACTGAGGCACAGAGAGATTGATAGTGAGGGGCGAGGCCAGGATTCCGGCCCAACTGAATATCCTCAGGGCCGGCCAGCACGCTGATCTACTACACCTAACTGCTCATATCTGCCAGACCTCCCTTTCAGATCTGCTGGGAGGACCAAATTAGATAACAATGCCTTGGAGAGCCTTCTAAACTCTATAAAAACGAAGAGTCTCTCGTCTGTCCCTGTGTCGTCCTTTATGCTGGAATCAAGGCAGTGATACAGAAACAGATGTGGGGCACATTTTAGGTCAGTTTGCCCTACCTAGCTCTCCTCCACAATTCCCGCCAGGAGACTCACCCTTTGGCCTTAAACCATATCTGTTGGAGGCCTCCAGTAAACCTTAAACATGTAACTTAGAAGAGGCAATAAAGCTTTTATTAGACCAATAGTCGTGGCTAAGTTTTCTCCAGTGAGGGCTTTGGGGGAGTAGGAGAGAGGGTAAGTGTAGCTTGCATATTTAATTAGGACAGCTGGGGGAAGCAAGATTCAGATGGAGAGGATCAGGGCTGAGAGAGGAGCCTGGTAGCAGGCAGGGGGCTGGAGAGAAGAGGCAGGGCTCTGCAGCAGGGGAGAGGGCGCTCCACAGGCAGTGGCGTTAAGTGCCGGCCGCGTCTTTTCAGGATCTTAGCTGTCAGAATCACTGTGAGCCAGACGAATCCCTGCATTGTACAGATGAGGAAACCGAGGCCCAGACCTACTGACGACCAGGCTGTCACGGTCTCTTTTCTGGTTCACCATGTGACCTCTGTCGACCCCTGAAAAATTCCCTGAATGTGTTCTTCCAGGAAGGTTTCCCCTGCTTGTGGCAGACACCAGAGAGTCACCACCCGGGATGCAGGGATGCGAAAAAGGACACAGGCAGAAAGACACGGGACTCCCAACCTGAGCTTCCTCAAGTGCCTTTACTTCCATTGCTGTTCTTGCTTGATTGGAAGTTGTGCCAGTGTGGTAAGGACCTTCGTTCCTCCCCGACACTTTACAAAAGCGCTGCTAACCCCCCTGCCTGACAGTCAAGACCTCCTACCTTCTCTATTTGTCAGCCTTCCTTTTCTCTCCTTGCCAACAAGGGCAACACCTCTGACTATCTCGGCACCCAGAGCTGCATTCACTGTGGTTGAAGTGTCATGATTTTTTTTTTTTTTTTTTTTTTTTTTTGCGGTACGCGGGCCTCTCACTGTTGTGGCCTCTCCCGTTGCAGAGCACAGACTCTGGACGCGCAGGCTGAGAGGCCTGGCTCACAGGCCCAGCCGCTCTGCGGCATGTGGGATCTTCCCGGACCGGGGCATGAACCCATGTCCCCTGCATCGGCAGGCGGACTCTCAACCACTGCGCCACCAGGGAAGCCCTGAAGTTCCATGTTTTATATTCTGTCTTCACAACGAGCTCGTCAGCCTGAGGATGGCTCCCAGGTAAGTCTTTTCAATGGCGCTCAATGAGGGTTTTACTTATCCACTGTCACGTTCTTCTCCTCTCCTCCTCCATATATTCCTGTTCCAAATCTTCTCTGTTCTTTTCACACCCGTGGTAACAACAGGGAGGGCGGCCCAGCACAGAGCCTCCAGCCTGCCAGGCACTTTATACACAGCTGCTTACAGAATCCCCAGCAGGAGGGGACGTGGTCTGTTTTGCAGAAGAGAAACCTGAGGCTCAGGGCTACTAAGTGGCAGCTGGCAGGGTGTGAGCAGCAGGTGAAAGTTCAAGTCCCTGTCTGCCTGCCTCCAAAGCCCCTGCTATTTCACCCTCCACCCGCTCACTTTGGTGAAGAAAATCGAGACCACCAGGTGTAAAGCATCTTAACTTCCTGCCACCCACGTCTAAAGGCATCGATCTCCACATTCATCTTCACGTCCCTTCCTGTCTCAGAGGATGAATGTCCCAGCTCCTCCCTGAGTCCAGCCTCTCCGTCTGCGCTCCCATCCCGCTTAATGCTTGATCCCCTCCCACTTGCTCCAAGGTCCTGCTCCATAAATAGCTCCCCTCTCTGTGTCCTCTGTTTCCTCCTCTCCAGGAGATGTCCCCCCTCAGCCCCTTAACATGCTCAAGTCTCTTCCATTATTCTTCAGAACAAACAGACAAACTTGATCGTGGTTCCTCAAAAAGTTAAAACTAGAATTACCCTATGACCCAGTGATCCCGCTTCTAGGCATATACCTGAAAGAATTGAAAACAGTTAAACATTTGTACACAAATGTTATAGCAGCACTATTCACAATTGCCAAAAGGTGGGAAAAATCCAGATGTTCTGAAACTAGAAAGAGGTGGTGGTGGTACTACACTGTCAAAGTACTAAATACCACTGAACTGTACACTTTAAAACGGTTAATTTTATTTCATCTAGATAAAAAAAAAAGAGGGGAAAAAATCTTGATCCTGTGTGAACCCCTGTAGCTATCACCCATCTTTCTCCTTCTGAATCACCAACTGTCTTGCATATTAGTCCATATCCACCATCTGTGCTTTCCTGTTCCTGGTTCACTCCTGAACCCACCTCAGTCTGGCTTCTCTGCCTCCGTATTTCCCCCCAGGCTGTCCTGTCAAAAGCTACTAATAACTGCATAATTATCAGATCCCATGACTACTTTTCAGCTCTTACCATAATAGTACCTATCAGACTACTACACCCAACTGTGCTTTGGGTGTCTGGTGGGTAACTCACACTTCATGTGTGTACACCTGAAGCCTACCACCCACTCAGACAACCTGCTTGTGCAGTCACTTCTTCTGTTGGCGTCAAGAAAAGGATACCTAACTGAAAGGGATTTAACCAGAGGAGCGCATTATCACGTGTATTTAGAAATCCAGAGGAAAGCTTTTAGAATTGGTTAATTCAGTAGTCCACGGGCCCAGGCATGTAATTTCCATCCTTCAGTTCAGCCATCTGCAGAATACTGACTCGATCCTTAGGTTTCCGTACTGCCTCCACCTCATGTTTGAAAGATGGTTGCCACAGTTCCGGGTATCACATTGTGGACATGGCAGCAAACAGCAGAAGAGGGGGAACATTTCCAAGCAGTTTTTTCACTCAGGGCCTTTGGTCAGGACCACTGATTTAGGCCTAGCTTCAAAGGAGACTGATAAAGCAAGTATTTGACTTTTTTTTTTTTTTTGACCTGCACTATGGGGAGGAAGTCTGTGCCATTTACAACAAATTTTGGAGACCCCCTGCTCTAGCCTATCACCAAATCCTGCATATTTTATCTTCTAAGTAATTCTCCAGTCTGCTTCTTTCTCTCCATACTTTCATTGCTCTAGCTTCTCCATCATCTCTAATTTAAGCTAATGAGATAGACTCCTCTTAACTGGCCTCCCTGCCTCCAGTCTTGCTGTCCCCCCACCCCCAGCAAAGCTAAAATGCAAATGTGATCATGTCATACTCCTTAAAATCCCCTTTGCCTTCAAAACCAAGTCCAAGCACTTGGCGGTGCACAGTAAGTCCTTCATGACTTGGTGCCTGCCCCCCTGTTGAAGGCCACAACATTCTTAAGGCTTAGGAATATCAAATATAGTTAGTTCTCTGCTCCCTCCGTGGTCTTTGCACCTCCTGGCCTTTGCATGAAACACCTTCCTCCATCCCTCCCCACTCCTCTCATCTGGCAAACTCTGTTCATCCCACTAAATTCTGTTCAGGTATCACCTCCTCCAGGAAGCCTTCTCAGAACTCACCACCTTCCATGCACCCCTGTTTCCCTGCCTACATTTATGTCTTCACTTTGTGCATTATATAAAAATTACCACCCCACTTCCTTAGACTGAGCAACAGGAGGGCAAAGATAGTTTCTGTTTTGACTTGGTATCACTAGCATCTAGGAGGGGGTCTGGCACATAGCTCCTCAGTAAAAGTTAATTGAACGGAACAGAGACTATCTTTCAGTCGCTTCTGTGTGCTTACAGATCTCTCTAGCTCAACCCCTGCAACTTACAAGTGCAGCAGGTAGTTGCTAATGTTGCCTCCTCACTTTTGGGACAAGGACCCTGTTTTATACCCTGTGCACCCTTCATAGCAGATGGTCCAGTGCCTTGTACATGGTATGTACCCAATAGGTATTTCTAAAGGATCTAGGAATTATTTTGTAAAATCGTGTACAGTTGATCCTTGAACAACGTGGGGGTTAGAGGCACCCACCCTCCACGCAGTCGAAAATCTGAGTATTTACACACACACATTTCCGCCATATCTACAATTCCTCACCCCTGGATTCAACTAACCTTGCATTGCAGTATTTACTACTGGAAAAAATCCACATATAAGTGGACCCATACTGTTCAAACCCCTGTTTTTTAAGGGTCAACTGTATATATATATATTTTTTTTTAATTTTTTAAAAAATGTATTTATTTTTGGCTGTGTTGGGTCTTCGTTGCTGTGTGCGGGCTTTCTCTAGTTGTAGCAAGCGGGGGCTACTCTTCGTTGCGGTGCGCGGGCTTCTCATTGCGGTGGCTTCTCTTGCTGTGGAGCATGGGCTCTAGGTGCACTGGCTTCAGTAGTTGTGGCGCGCGGGCTCTAGAGCGCAGGCTAAGTTGTTGTGGCGCACGGACTTAGTTGCTCCGCGGCATGTGGGATCTTCCCAGACCAGGGCTCAAACCTGTGTCCCTTGAATTGGCAGGCGGATTCTTAACCACTGTGCCATCAGGGAAGCCCCCTAACTGTATATATTTTTAAGGTGAGTTTTACTTTTTCTTTTAATTTTACAATTACAACATCATTGTAGAAAATGTATAAAGAATGGAAAAGCCTTAAGAAAAAAGTAAAATTCTCTTATGACCCTTCAACCTACATTAATGTTGGAATGGATTTCCTCCCTGTCTTTTTTTATGTGCAAGATCTTAGGGAGTGGGGAGAGGGGAGTGCAGCTGTTACACAGGTGTATGTTTAAATCCCACTGTTCCCTACTTCTGCTGGTTAATTGACCATTAGGATGGCCGCTTTGCCTGGATCTCACTTTTTTACACTGTGGGCGAACACTGGAGATTCGGCAGTGAAGGCCCCTTGATTTCTGGAAATCAGCCTTCTCTCCACGTTCTTACATTAGTGGGAAAGCAGGCAGAGCACCTCGTATATGCCTCAGAGATCCTACATCTAAGAACAAGGAGCTTTGGGACTTCCCTCGTGGTCCAGTGGTTAAGACTTCGCCTTCCAATGCAGGGGGTGCGGATTCGATCTCTGGTCGGGGAGCTAAGATCCCACATGCCTCGGGGCCAAAAAACCAAAACATAAAACAGAAGCAGTATTGTAACAAATTCAATAAAGCCTTTAAAAATTGTCCACATCAAAAAAAAAATCTTAAAAAAAAAACCAAGGAGCTCAGGATCTACCGTAAAAAGCCTCTGGCAAAGGAGACATGCATCTCGCCTCTTGGGAAGGGAAGTTTACTCATCTGGGGCAGGGCTTAAGGAAGTCACCCAGCAAGGAGGGGGCCCCTGAGGGCTGAGCTCAGGCCATTTCACTAGGAAAAGTCCTGGGGTGAGTGGGAAGGAACATGAGCCTGGGCGTGAGGAGGATATGCTTAAGAGGAACACAGAAAGGGCAGACTCAGCATTAGGAGTCGTAGGATGTGTTTCTGGCGTAAATCAGGAGCTCCCATATATTGAGCACCAGATGCAGAAGGTGTTGAGATTAGAGCAGGCTTCCGAATGACATCCACCACCCGCCTCATCTATTCCCCACCGGTTCTGAACCATTCGAAACAATAGATGGCTCTGACAGCTGGAGACCAAAATGACAGACCAGTATTGGCGAGCCCGGCTTAGGTTTACGGCAAAAAGGGGCTTCCTTTTATTGCCAGTGAGTATCAGGCCGATATATTAATAACAGCTGGCCCCAGGCAGTGATGGAAAAGCCCTGGCCTCCCCCTGTAGTGAGTCTCCCCCCACAATATAAGGTGGATGAGCAAAGGTAGAGTGTGCGCTTCGGCGGCTGCTGGGTCCCAGAGGGAAAGTGGAGAGACGACTACTCCCAAATGTGCCAGCCAGGTAATTCCTGCCTTTTCCTCCACACACATGTACCCTCCACAGCTAGCATTTTGACCAACACATAAAAGGTGCCCATTCAATATGTGATGAATGAATGACACCACGGTAAGTTCGAGGGGGTCTGATATCTCGCTGAACTCAAGGAGTCCAGTGACTGTAGGAGATAAAATCGGAGTTGGAAGGTCTTGTATCCTAGGAGGCTTGAGGAGGGGCCTGAAAGGAGCCGGGAGTGCTACACGCATTGATGTCCCTCCACACGGAAACATGAAGCAAGGGGAAAGGAAGTTCCACATAAGAGGCATCATGCTGGGAGCTTTACGTATTTTTAATCTCTATTCTGAACAAACCTGTAAGGAAGATATTAATATCTCCATTTTGAGATGAAGAAACTAAGAGGAGTTAAGTCAGAGCACATCATACAGCTAGCTGGTGGTAGAGCTGGGATTTGAATCCAGGTTTATCTGAATCCGGGGTCCATGCTTTTTTCACATGGTATACCGCCCTCCCAGTTTCCTTATGAACACCATCCACTTATGGGCAGGCCCTCACCCATCTGAGAACCCTTGCTAGCAAGGCATGTCAGGATGTAGGGGCTATAAGCATAGTAAAAATAGCCTTTTTTAAAAAAAACTTGGTTATAGGTTCAGAATAGGGGGAAGACGTTGTGGTTGGAGTGATCAAGGGGGTAGAAGATGGACTTTGAGGAACACGTAAGATTCCAGTGGATGATTTGGGGTTTTTTTCTCATTATTCTGGTTTGTTGGGTCATAAGAATCAGCCCAGACAGCCCTTGCTCTTCTCTCATGTGTGTTCATTTCTGGGTATTAGTTTAAGTTTTGATTCCATCCTCAATTATCTGGGGCAGGTTTCTTACCCTTTCTGAGTTTGGATGTCTTCATCTGTAAAATGTGATTGTCATAAAGACTAAACTAGATGAGTCCATGAGAGTCCTTGGGTCACAGCCCCATTCAACTCTTTCCCCTCCATCTCTCTTAATTTTGAATCATTTTTCATTGCTGCTTTTAGAAAACCCCGCTGCATGTTCATTTTTGGAGGCCTCCCTGATTTTGATGCTGAACTGCTGGACACCTGCCCCAGAGCCCTCATTTAAAGCCTTATCTCCAGCCCTTGCACAAACGTTATCTCCCTTCTTACAAGGGCAGAGACGAGATGTCTTGATCTGATTCTTCCACTGACACCTGCTGCTGTGTACAATGAAGCACATTTCTGTTTAGGAAAGGAGAGCTGGTGAAAGTGTGGAGCTGAGTCCCAGCAACAGGGTGGTCTTGGGTTCCCTGAATTCTTCACACATGACGTCTGGGTCTGCCAGTCCCTGGGTTGGAGGATGGAGCAGGCTGGCCAAGGCTTCCTACCATCAGCACTGGGTGCATGTGTGCAAGCGCACATGTGTGTGTGTGAAGGTTTTGTCCTTGTTTGGGGGTTTTGTGGTGATCCCAGGAGATCCTGGACTGGCTTGGATCCACCCAGGTGTCCAAATCCTTCCTCGATCTCCAGAAATAGCTTCAAGAATTAGTTCCACCTTCTAAGGTTGTTTGCCTCTTACACATACAGAAAGCTCTTCTTCTTTCCTTCCAACCTCTGAACCCCCCTCCCAGGCCGCATCATTTTAACAGCAGAGACTATGTTTGTTTCATCTTTATACCTCTTGCTTCTCATTTGCCCATCCTCTCCACACACATGTACCCTCCACAACTAGCATTTTGACCAACACATAAAAGGTGCCCATTCAATATGTGATGAATGAATGAAACCAGGTAAGTTCGAGGGGGTCTGATATCTCGCTGAACTCAAGGAGTCCAGTGACTGTAGGAGGTAAAATCGGAGTTGGAAGGTCTTGTATCCTAGCCCAGCTCTGCCAATATGTAGTAACAGTAATGAGGATCATGATGTTACAGATAATAACATAATAAGAGCTAACATTTATTCATCGCCTTCTACGCTCCTGTACATGCAAAGCTCCTTCCAGCCATTTGTTACCTAACGCAATCCTTACAACAGCCCTTAAAATAATGACCCTTAACCGCATTTTACAGAGGAAGAGTCTGGTGCTTAGACGAGTTAGTTCACTTGCCCAGGCCCCCCACCTCCCTACCCCAGCTAGTAATTGGTGATTTGACACCGCTTGGCTATCCTGGCACCTGAGCTTTTTACCCATGTGCCACCTCTCTGCATGTCCTCGCCCCCTGGGTGACTTGGGCCAAATCACTTCCCCTCTCTGGGCTTTGCTGTCCTCATCTGTGAAATGGAAGACAGGACAGATGACATGATGACTAAGGTCCCTATTAGAACTCTCTTTCCACCAGATCAGAAGCAACACCAAATGGTAACCCCTCCTGTTTTCAGAGGCTTTTACAGTTCATAAAGCCCTTACTCATGCTTCTCATTAAGCAGATTGCCTTGGAAACAAGATTTGCCTACATGGTTAGACCAGCTCCCCAGAGGCACTGCTCGGGAAGTCTTGGCAGGAGGGTGCACTTCCAGAAGCAGGGCTGCCTGTGCTTACCCTGAGATCCTAGGAGGCACTGCCCGTCCTTCCAACTCAGGTTGTCTTCCCAGAGACAGGGGTCCTGATCGAGAGCAGTTAGACTAGTGAAGCCACCTCCCTGCACAATCTGGCAAGGCGGGGCCGGCCACTGGGCAGCAAGGTCTCTAAACACCTCGTTCCGGACAGAAATGATGTAAACAGTTCCAGGAGGCTGGATTCACCCATTCTGTGTAGTTCACTCATTCATTCACTCGTTCATTCATTCAACAAACAGATATTAAATATCCATGGTGGGACCTCACCATGCAAGGAACTTGGAATAAACGATGACGCCTTCTCTTAGGGAACTCATCACTGGGGAAAGAGTGGAGATCCAGACAGTCAAACAGATAAATCAACACAATGCAGCACTCTTTGGCTGTGGGACCCTAGAACATTGCATACCCTCTCTGAAACTTAGTTTCCTCACCAACCAAACAGGGCTAATAATATCCTATCTTCTGTTTCATCTTCTGCAGCTCCCCACATTCTATGGATCACTTCCTGTTTCCGAAATACACCAGATGCTTAAGCTCCCATCCCTTTGCCTCACCACTCCCGCTGCTCTCTCTGTCTGGGGTGCCCCTTTCCGATACATGTCTCATAAATACCAACTCAACCCCAGCACCTGTCATAGTAGAAGATGAATACATATTTGCTCAGTGAGTAAACCCCTCAAGGTCAAGTTTCTCTCTCTCTCCCTGTCCCCCTCCCCCACTCCTCTCCCCAGCTTCCTCTTTCCCTCTCCCACCACCCTCCTCCCTCTCCCTTAGCCAGACCTGATTTCCCCAGGCAGAACAATTATTTGCTTGTCTCCCCATTAAAATGCAAACCTCTTACGCACAGATGCTGTGAATGACACAGCACATCAGTGGTTAGTAAACATTAGTGAAAGTGAAAAACAAGTTGGTCAGGAAAGGTATTATTATCTTCATTTAATAATGACTCTTAGGTTTTGAAAAATCCCAGAGAACTTGCGAATCATCCTGGAAGGTTAAGCAACTTGCCTATCACACAGGGCTCCAGGCGGCCTCATTTTCTGACCTGAATCTGAGCCATCAGACTACAGCTCTCCTTGGCATTTAAGAAAAAGGGCTCATTTCACAAATCCTAAATGCACGTTTTC